TCTGCATTTATGAATAATATTTCAATAGCATTTTTGTATATAACTTTTCACTGACAGTGCTAGTTTACCTGTGGGGATAACATTTAATATACAAGTTATTTAAAGGCTAAAAAACAAAAGTGATATGTGAAAGGGAATATGCACTTTCAAGTTTGTGGATGTTGCAAAATGACTCTCCAAAAACCCGTTTTTACTCTCACTGCCAGTGGTTGAGATCAAGGCTGTCACTCAACATTTTTTTTAATATTGTACCTTAGGTTCTGGGGTACATGTGCAGATCATGCAGGATTGTTGCATAGGTGCACACTCAACATTTTTATCTAAGGTGAATGTTACCAAAGGTGTTAAGAATTGCCAATATGAAAGAACTTGTTTTTAATTTTTGGAGGGAAGTATAGGTAATTTGAATCTATATTCTTATATTTTTAGTGAATTTTAGTATGTGTTATTTTAGCTTTAAATATTAAACTACAACTTTTTCTCTCTACCTTTAATGCTTCCTAAAAATTTAAGTAGTATGACAATCTTCTGTTATTTACAGATTTTCTTAGATCAGTGTCAGGTATGTTTTGAGTCATTTTTGGTAATTTATGTTGTATATTCCATCCAGATTTTAGAACTAAGCCTAGAATAATATTAGTATGTGTGTGTGTGTACATAAACATAAAAAATAAATATACAAATACATATTGACACACCCATTAGAAAGAATTGTTTCTCAGATTTATGTGAAAGTTGAACAACCAGATTAATGTCCAGAGTTAATTGAGAAGAAACAATAATGCACCATGTGTAAAATCATTAAATTAAATATAGGATGGTGATATTGAATCCAGTACATGACTACCCAAGGATGATAGCAGGCAGCATAATCTAATGTCGTGCCTTTGAAAGAAGTCTAGAATGTTGAGGGAATTGGGAGGAGAAATTGTCTATAGGCAGCAATACAGAGAAAGAATACTTCCCAGAGTTCCATGACTATGGGACAACAAGAGGACTGTAGTGAAAACCCTTCTGTGATACAATTTCTGTGGCTTCTTTGGATACAATTTCTTATAGTATATTCTTAATCTGATTTAATTTGTTTTGCTACTGTAGAGAAATTATTTAAAATCATGGATATGTACAGTAAATTACTCACATTGAGTTTAATAATGGGACCTAATTAAACTCCAGAGCTTCTGTACAGCAAAAGAAACAATCATTAGAGTGAACCTGCAACCAACAGAATGGGAAAACATTTTTGCAATCTACCTATTTGACAAAGGGCTAATATCCAGAATCTACAAAGAACTAAAACAGATTTACAAGAAAAAAAAACTCATCCAAAAGTGGGAGAAGGATATGAAAAGACACTTTTCAAAAGAAGACATATATGAGGCCAACAAACATATGAAAAAGTACTCATCATCACTGATTGTTAGAGAAATGCAAATCAAAACCACATTGAGATACCACCTCATATTAGTTAGAATGGCAATCATTAAAAAATCTGGAGACAACAGATGCTGGAGAGGATGTGGAGAAATAGGAACACTTTTACACTGGTGGTGGGAGTGTAAACTAGTTCAACCATTGTGGAAGACATTGTGGCACTTCCTCAAGGACCTAGAAATAGAAATTCCATTTGACCCAGCAATCCCATTACTGGGTATATAGCCAAAGGTTTATAAATCATTCCATTATAAAGACACATGCACACGTATGTTCATTACAGCACTGTTTACAATAGCAAAGACCTGGAATCAACCCAAATGCCCATCGACAATAGACTGGACAAGGAAAATGTGGCCACAATAAAAGCCACAAAAAATGATGAGGAGTTCATGTCCTTTGCAGGGACATGGATGAATCTGGAAACCATCATTTTCATCAAACTGACACAAGAACAGAAAATCAAACACCACATATTCTCACTCATAGGCGGGTGTTGAATGATGAGAACACATGGACACAGGGAGGGGAGCATCACACACTGGGGTCTGTTGGGTGGGGCCAAGGGATGGATAGTGGGGTAGGGGGTGGGGAGGTTAGGGAGGGATAACATGGGGAGAAATGCCAGATGTAGGTGACGGGGGGATGGAGGCAGCAAACCACATTGCCATGTGTGTACCTCTGCAACAATCCTGCCTGATCTGCACACGTACCCCAAAACCTAAGGTACAATTGAAAAATAGAAATAGCAGTTATATTCCATGTAAACATAAAAATGATCTGGTAATGGAAAAATGAAGCTGATAGTGAATATAAGATGTCACATTGTCTTGTCAAGTCTCTGTCCTCTGTCTTTTAAAGTGGAAAAAAAACCCCAGCAAATGTTCTATTGATGATGAGTAAATGTTTTGTCTTACAAGTATTCAAAGCCCATAAAAGGCATGATCTGTGCCTGGAGGAATTTATGGCCTGTTGCTGTGGCTTGCTATCACTGCATTGGACAATGAGAACATATATGTACCTGAGGACAATGCATTTTTAAAAAGAAGTGAATTTCAAACATTTTTCTTTAAGATCTAGAATAAAAAAAATTACTGATTTTACATTATGACTCAAGAAACACAAACATATACATATTCTGTATAATATGCACAGCTAGAAATAGAACTGAAACAAATTGTATGAAATAATACTTTTTTCACTACATAGAATGTGTTTTCAGTTTAATGTCTGTGCTGTCTAATATACTAGAAACAAGTGACTATTTCAATTTCAATTAATTGAAACCAAATAATATTACATTAACTATATGAAGCTAGTGACTCTCATATTGGATAATGCAAATATAGAAAATTACCATCATTGCAGAAGGTTTGATTGGACAGCCCTAGCTCTATTCTATTCTATTGTAAAATAATTTTATGAATAACTGTTGAGTTGAAAACTGAGGCTTCAATATCGAAAGAGAGTCAGCTTGGGAAATGTATGTTTAAATATCTTCACACAATGAATTACTGAGATTGTTTCAGAGCAGTGGATTAACTATAATAAAAATATTTGTGTAGGTACAATATGCAGGTGCTGAAAATGGTTTGTCTATAACAACACTATACGATACAAATAAAACATAACCATTTATGTAATTTTAAATATTATTGTAATCATATAAAAAATGAAATGAATTTACAAATATTTTTGTATATCCAAATGTATAATTTCAAAGCATGATTAATATGAAATCACATGAAAAAACATGAAATGAATTTACAAATAGTTCTGTATATCCAAATGTATAATTTTAAAACATAATTAATATACAATTATTAGTAGTACATTTTGCATTCTGTTTTACACAGTCTGTGGAATATAGTGTATATTTCACACAGCACATCTTAATTAGGATTACCAATATTTTAATTGCTCAGTAGTCACATGTGACTAATGGCTATCATATTGGATAGGACACATCTAAAGTGACAACTTTCAGGACTTTTGATCACCTATCTAACTGCCTGTAAAAATATGGAACACGTGAAACATCTGTATTGCTCATCAACACACGAAACACCTGTATTTCTCACCTCCCCCAAAAAACAAGTTAAAATATTATTTGTTTTCCAAATGAGCCATTTTTTTCTTTTAGATATCTGTCCTCTTCAAGAGTAGTATGACCAATAGTATCTTACTCTTTGGGACCATCTCCAACCAGGAATAATAAGAACATTAAATAAAGATGTCATTTGTTGAGTATTGGCTCTGTGCTTTTGGCTAATTGCTTTACATATGTGTTTCATTTCAAGTGGGTTTAACATGCACGCATTAGTATATCTTTTTTCAAGATGATTTTACTTCAAGCTCTCTCTCTAAGGAGACCACACTAAAAAAAAAATAGAATTTATTTTAAAAAAAATCAGGAGTTCACTACTCTCAAGTGAAAACTAAGAAAATATTGATGTTTAAGTTCTACTTGTCTTTACAATTAATGAGTCTACTTGTCTGTACAATTAATGAGGTATGGATACTACCATATTTCAACTACACAGTAGTTGTAGGCATTGCTGTAAGCTATTTAATTATGATGCATGGCTAGAAACACATAGTTTTATGTGCAAAATTTTCTTTATGTCAAGCTGGTATTTAGAGATCAGGACTAATTTCTGAATCACTTCCATAAGAATATAAACTTTAATTTAAAACATAATACCTACTTGTATAGGTCAATTTTAGTAAAACAGAAATTCCAGACAGAGAATGACTGTTTTTGACACTAATAAATGTTGGTTTTTTTGTTTTGTTTTGTTTTTGAGATGGAGTCTTGCTCTGTCACCCAGGCTGGAGTGCAGTGGTGTGATCTCAGCTCACTGCAACCTCTGCCAGCCAGGTTCAGGTGATTCTCCTGCCTCAGCCTCCTGAGTAGCTGAGATTACAGATGTGCACCACCATGCCTGGCTAATTTTTGTATTTTTAGTAGACATGGGGTTTCACCATGTTGGCCGGGCTGGTCTCGAATTCCTGACCTAAAGCAATCTGCCTGCTTCAGCCTCCCAAAGTGCTGGGATTACAGGCATCAGCCACCATGCCTGGCCTCACGAATAACTTTTGTAACGAACTGTTTAACATTTTATATATTAAATATTTTCAAGAAAGTTCATGCTTGGGATAGTGGGATGTTATGTAAAATAAAATAAATATTATTTTGATGGGGTAATAAATAGAGCCTTAAAATGACTTAGGAAGAGAATAAGAACAGTTATTTAAGGCCAATAAGTATTCTCAAAGTTGATCTATTTATACTATATTCCACCTGTTAAAATTATCTCAGAAAAGCTGTTGAAAAATTATTATTTTAATGGAGATTTTGAAGATATTTCCTTAAATCCTTTCCTTGAGCTTTTCCTTAAAATATTCTGTATATGTATGAGGTTTAATTCTAATACTATCTAGAATTAATTTTTGCTTTATATTTATATGTTTTAAGCTAGAGTAACTTTAATATCTGAAGCTTACCTTTTGTTTTATAAAACTAATCCCTAATGAATCCGGCATCTTCTATTTATGTGTTGTAGGTACAATTACATTTTCTTTCATGAGAAGGAAATGTGATGATTGTGAGGAAAACACAGATCAAGATCAAGCAGCTTCCTTTCTTGGTTCAATAACAGAACAATCTAGCACCTTTGATTCTGGAAAATCAGGTAAATTTATTATGACAGAATTTCATTATCGATTTGGATAAATCCAAATCATTATTCACTTTTGAATGAAATAGTTTACATGCATAATATATATCCAGATTTGTCTTGTATATGCCTGTCAGAATTTTGTTATTTCAGTATTAACTATATGTAGCACACATTCTGGAGTTCCACTGCTATTAATGTCAATAGTCAAAATGCTTCAGCTAGAAGGGTGCCCACTCTTCCATAATTGAAAAACTTTTCATATTTTTCTGTCATTAGACAAAAGCATACAGAAAATTTCTAATAAAATGTCAATGAGCATATTGTTTTAAGAATGTAATATGTGTTGCTTACTTTAGTATAAGAGATACTAGCAATCTTCCTCATATGCCAAAGAAACTAAACACTGTTGTTTTCTCCCTGTATTATAAATCTTTATTTGTATGTTGTTAAACATCATGTCTTTTTAGTACAAGTTCCAAGGAAAATAAGGTGACGAGGAGTTGGAATACTTGGGGCAGGTTTCCTAGAAATGGGTGAATGAGTTTTTCTTTTATGGGTGAGTGACAGGGACATAAGGCCTTAGTAAAGAAACATGGTGCAACAGGGGCAAACTTGGGGAGACATTTTAAATCTTATACAAAAGAATAAATGTTTATTGAATAAAGTTGTGTTAGATAGCATTCTTCACAGAAACAGAAATGATAGGGTGTGTGTCTGTGTGTCTGTGTGTATTGAGAGAGAGAAAGATTTTAAGGAATTGACACCATTGCAGGAGCTGGTAAATCAGAAATCTGTAAGGCAAGCCAGCAGACTAAAAATTCAATGTCAATGTTGCAGCCTCAAGTCCAAATTCCTAGGATAGGACAGGCAGGCTGGAAACTCAGGCAGCATTTCTATGTTGCAGTCTTGAGGAATAATTGCTCTCTTTGGGGGAACATCAGTGGTTGTGCCTAAGCCCTTCAGCTCATTGGAGGAGGCCTACTCTTTGGAGGATAATCTGCTTTACTCAAATTATACTGATATAAATGTTAATCACATTTCTAAAATAGCTTCACAGGAACATCTAAACTGGTGTTTGTTCATACAGCAGGGCACTATAGCCCAGCAAAGTTGACACATGAAATTAAGCATCACAGAATCCATGGATTAAACAGTGGTATTTAGGCAATATTCAAAATGTATTGGAAAGAGAAGAGAAGTTGGGCCAGTTAGACTACTGCAACAGCAAACTGAGTTTGAAGTGAAGACAACCAGGTCTTTTATGGTGGTGATGGAAATACAGAAATACCACTAAAGATGTGAAATATTTTAGAGACTAGCATTAGATGACTGTCCTTTTAGAAGATAAAGAGAAAGGGTATTGATTCCATAAAATAATAATAGAGTTTGTTTGTATTTTGGTCAATAGAAAAAAGTAAGAAATTCAGAAGGAAAGAAAAACGTTTGGGAGATTTTAACACTTAGCAAAGTTTTGTACTTCCTGATGTTGATGTGACATCAAGACATTTACATACCAATATTCAGTTGCCAATTGAATCTATGAAGCTGAGACTTAGGAGAAAAACAATGTTAACATGAGTCATAATGGTTTAGGGTCTCTTTCAGTGAAATCATGCAGGGTGAGGCAAAGGAATAGATAATTGCTGTAGATGTGTTATGCTAAAATTTAAATCCTCATTAATATCTATGGCAGAAGAACCATGAAGGAAGACCTTCATGAGGGTTAAAGTGTTCAGAAGACTCTGAAAAAAATCAGAATAGTATTTTATGTTAAAAGGCTAAAAAAACACCAATATCTAATAAACATGCTAACCTACATATTATAGCAGGTTGAAAGATAGATTAAAAGCTAGAAGTATATCTGACGATATTAAAGGTATCCCTAATTCTTCAAACCGGCCTTTTCATATCCTTACTCTGACAGAATTAATAACAGGGATCCATTTTTAAGGACTGCTCTGCAGTATATTTATTTTCAGCTAGTGAAATCATCTAGCCTTCCTCTCATCAAAGAAATGAAAACACCTCAATCAGAATGTTTTAACCTTCTGGATTGGGAAATATGAAAAATAACGGTAACACTCACTTTTAATGAGAATCAGATAAAAAGAGGCAATCTCATGCATTACAACAGAAATTTAAATTGATAAAAACTTTTTGAAGAGAACATTTAGAGTATGTTTAAACTTTTAAGAATTTTTTATCTCTTTCAATCCAATGATTCGGTCTAAGGAATTTGTTAGAATAATCAAAGATATACAAAAAATATGATATTTAAGGATGTTTCTATTGAATACTTGAAACTAAAATTTTAATAGTGTGTATTTACTGAACAATATAAATCTGTATATTTATATGTATATATGAATGTATCAATTATGTATATTGTATACAGCCCAGTATATTTATGTATGTATGTCTATATATCTGTGTCTTTCTTGATATTTGAAGCCTGGAATGTTCTACAGATCCATTAAGTAGCTGTCATTTGGTCATGAAATTATGAAGAACTTTCATCTTCATACTATTTAGGAATTTCAAAAATCACTATAATGAATGCTATTGATTTTATAATTAGAAAAATATTTTAATTTGTTTATGGTTCAGAGTTAAACAAATAATCATTATTCTTTTGCTGTTGTTTTCATCAATAAATCATTCACCAATCCCATTCTAATCAATAAATTCATACTCTGTACGTTTGTAACTAATCAATAAATTCATACTCTTTGTAAATCAGCTGCATCACAACACTACCACGTGTGATAGTCACAGTAATTATGAATGAAAGGTGTTATTGTCCGTGTTATGGTTAATTTCACATGTCAACTTAGCTGGGCCACAGGGCCCAGATATTTGGTCAACTTCATTTTTAATGTTTCTGAGAAGGTGTTTTGTAGATGAGATTAACATTTGAATCAATGGCCTGTGAATAAAGCAGATTACCCTCCATAATGTGGTTGAGCTTCATCTAATTAGTTGAAAAACTTAGTAAAATAAAATCTGACCTACCCCAATATCCTTTAGATTTTGGATATACCAAGACTCCACAGTAGCATAAGCCAATTCCTTAAAATCTCTCTCTTTCTCTCTCTTCTCTACACATCCTGCTAGTTCCATCCCTCCAGAAAGCTGTAACTAATGAAGTCCCCATTACATAAATTGGCAGGCTCTTGAGATTCTTTGCCAAAAATCACAAGCTAATGGTGGTCACATTGGGATTGAACCCTGGTCTTAGAACCCTCAGTCATTCCACTGATCTTTGCACTAACCCATAGTCATTAAGCAATCTCCTCAGTCATAGCTACTGTTTCCAGAATTATCTTCTCTGTGAGTTCAGTGTGGGTTAAAACACTGGAAAGACCCAGTTAAAATATGCATAAGCTACCTAGAAGGGAAAACACAGTTCTTTTCATTTTAAGAACTTTGAATTATTTTGAGAGAAGTCACATTCAAGTGTCATAAAAGCACTTAAAGTGCTTTTATAAAATTGAAGGAGCAAATGTGAGCAGAGGCTTCCTTAATAACCTCACATAAGTATAAATTTGGTAACCTTATTTTCTGCACATTTCTGCTTTTAAGGGAATGAACTGATGTCTGAAAAATAAACAAGTACAGGAGTCAGTTCAAAATGTGAAAATAAATTTGCCCTCGAGAACTCCTCATAGTTATTTGGAGTAAAAACTCAACTGGGTCTTACTCATTGTAACTATTTTTTCTCTTTCGCCTTCTTACTAGCTGTTTAGCTTAAATATATGAATTGTTCTTAGATCCACCAATTTTGTAAGTATTTTTGATACTTAAGGTGTTAGGTAACAAAATGTTGAAACAGGATACAAAGTAGTACAATACAATATGGTACAGAACAGTGCAGTACAGTAAAATACAATGTCATGCAATCCAATCCAATACAAAGCTATGAAATGCCATACAGTGACCTACAATACAACACAATATTATGCTATTCAATATCATACAGTGTCATACATACAATACGGTACAATGCAATGCAAAACATATACTCATGAAAAACATTTTTAGTAGAGAAAAACATTGAGACTATTATTAGTTTGGGCTCCTTATTTCATAGATGAGGGAACTGAGGCCCAAAGAAGTTAGTGATTTATCTAAATAAGTTAATCTAGCATAATAATTCTTGAAATTGTCTAAATATGACAATACTGATATGAATATGTATACAATTTACTGAAATTGGAGGGCAATCTTAAACCATGACCTAGTTCAACACTGGAAAACAAAAGAATATCAAAGTGGGAAGCTGAACAGACAGGAAAAAACAAACAAAAAACCCCTGAATTTGGTGGACATAAAATACCTTTTTATGAAGGGCCTTTGTGGTTGATAGGGGTTCCAGTTTTAGGGTGAGGGAGTATGGTTTTGGATACCATCAGGGGCAGAATTCCCTGCTTTTTAAAATATCAGGGAAGCAAGATATAAAATTAATTGTCTCACGACTTAGTCTATGCCCCTTTCAGACTTTCCTTGTGCTAAATTCTTAGGATCCTTTTCCACATATTCAGAAACATGCAATCTCATTTTACTGACTTTCTCCTTTTACTAGATCCTTATGGTCCTGGAAATGTAACATTGTGAATTGTTATGACTTATTTAGATATTTCTATGTATAAATACATGAATAGTTGGTCAATAAGAAAAAATATTATTTCTTTTTGAAACATTAATCATTAACTTAAAACATTCTGAAATTCATTTTAGGGAAGAACGTAATGAGTTACTGGAAAAGGTATAGGACCAGGAGCTCATATAGGATATTCTCTTGGCCATGCAAGGATGGAGCTTCTCTCATTCCTCACTAACCATGATAAAAACAGCTTCTCATCCTTTCTTCAGCTGTCTTGACAAAAAATCCATTTTAAAAAAAGGGTCAAAAATGATGTCTGTTCATGATTCTCAAATTTGTATGTTAAGTATGGTATTCTGAAGTCTATATTAAAAAATGGTGTTTTGTTCTGTTTTTCAGATGATAAATTTAGCAATTTAAGAATCTGCTATAATCTTGAGATCCACGGCACTCCTGGACCACCCATAGACATTATGGAAATGACATGTAGGGCTTTGGTAAGTGCCCATTACATGTTCATAGACTGTCATTTTGTAAACAGTTAGACCTTTTGTTGTACAGTAAATTATTTACTATCCCTAAAACCATCCATATCAGATGACTGTTTTAAGGTAAATTAATCATAGCAATTTTATTTTAAAATCTAGTACTGTGGACTTTAAATGCTTTTAGAAAACATCTTTATTTATGTGTGTTATCTTATAGTGACTGCATGTATTAGCATACTATCTGTCTGTTTCAAGAGTTACTAGAGCAAACTTAACTTTAGACTACATGCTTGTTCACAAATAGATGATAAAAACAGGATTATGCTACTAGACTCTTTCAGCATTGTTTCTTCCTGGTTTCTACAGCAGACCTTTCACTTGGAAATATATTTGAAGCAATTGGCATACATTTGCGGTTTCCATTAATACTTGGAATAGATTTGTCTGATGTGAATTACTAAAATGTTACTAAATTTGTGTCCAAAATTATTTAATAAAGTTAAATATTAAGAGTCTTGTTTTACATAAAATATGTGGAAAATATTGGTATTAATAATGTTTTAATTAAATTTAACTTCCTCATTGTTATTCAAATATTTAAATTTATAATAAAAGTTACTTTTATTTTTAAATATGTGGATAGATTTCTTTATAGAATTGATTACTTAGAATCTTGAACTTTGGCTCCAATAAATAGAGTGTTAAAAAAATATTTAAAATACTTTAAGTTTACAAACTGATTACTTGCCCACCTGATTTCTGGGTAAATCTCCATTTAGGCATAGATGATGAATGATTAAAATTTTGAAATGTGCTCAAGCATAGTTTGCAAAAGCATTATCTCCTGAGTGGAAAATTATTTAATATGACAGCAGGATTATTTCACTCAATGAAAGTGTCTTACTTCTGTAAACTGGTTATCACTGCAGTATAAGACCTTTCTTAAAGGTTATTTTTAAATACACATTAAAATGTATCCGTTTATCAGGACATAGAGGAAAAAATTAAATACACTTTGAAAAAACAGTGTATGATGTAGCACCTCAGAAAATGAGAAATTAGCTTTCTTATTAACTATATGCTTAAAATAGGAATAGACATGACAAAATATGCAAAACAAATGGAAATAAATACAATTTTAAATAAATGATAGATGACCAATTATTTCATCTTCTCATTAAATGGTGTATAAAGTGCCATTTTTCTGCAAGAGCTATTAGTTCTTCAAGAAAATAATGATAGAAATTGAGATTTTTATAGCTTTCCAACTTAAAGTGTGAAGACTGTCACATAGGCTGAGAAACGCACACCATCCGAGTTCTTAATGTGCATATATAAGAAGATTGAGCAAAAAGCAAAAACAAAACAAAATTGAAAAACCACTGCTTGTCTCTGAGAAATTTCAAATATGTATTCATTTATGAAATTGAAATTTGCATATATCCTTTCAGGAATATATTATTTTCATAAGTAATATACTTTTGAATAATGGCCCTTGTTCATTTTTCGTAAAGGATTTTCCCCTCCCATGTATATTATAATGTAATCCTAATTCAGTTTGTACTGATTTCCTATAAGTTTTAAAGTTTATATATATATATATATAATTATATATATATATATATATATATATATATATATATATAATTGCACTTTAGGTTCTGGGGTACATGTGAAGAACATGCATGCAGGATTGTTGCATAGATACATACATGGCAATGTAATTTGCTGCCTCCATCCCCCTGTCACCTATATCTGGCATTTCTCCCCATGTTATCCCTCCCCAATGTCCCTACCCCCACCGTACCTCCCCAGTCCCCCCCAACAGATGCCAGTATGTGATACTCCCTTCCCTGTGTCCATGTGTTCTCATTGTTCAACACCTGCCTATGAGTGAGAACATGCGGTGTTTGATTTTCTGATCTTGTGTCAGTTTGCTGACAATGACGGTTTCCAGGTTTATCCATGTCCCTACAAAGGACATGAACTCATCATTTTTGATGGCTGTATAGTATTCCATGGTGTATATGTGCCACATTTTCCCTGTCCAGTCTATCATCAGTGGGCATTTGGGTTGTTTCCAGGTCTTTGCTATTGTAAACAGTGCCGTAATGAACGTACATGTGCATGTGTCTTTATAATAGAATGATTTGTAGTCCTTTGGATATATACCCAGTAATGGGATTGCTGGGTCACATGGAATTTCTATTTCTAGGTCCTTAAGGAAGCGCTACACTGTCTTCCACAATGGTTGAACTAATTTACATTCCCACCAACAGTGTAAAAGTGTTCCTATTTCTCTATGTCCTCTCTAGCATCTGTTGTCTCCAGATTTTTTAAAAATCGCCATTCTAACTGGCATGAGGTGGTATGTTAATGTGGTTTTGATTTGCATTTTCTAATGACCAGTGATAATGAGCATTTTTTCATATGTTTGTTGGCCTCATATATGTCTTCTTTTGAAAAGTGTCTGTTCATGTCCTTCACCCACTTTGAAATGGGTTTGTTTATTTTCTTCTTGTAAATCTGTTTTAGTTCTTTGTAGATTCTGGATATTAGCCCTTTGTCAGATAGGTAGATTGCAGAATTTTTTTCCCATTCTATTGGTTGTTGGTTCACTCTAATGATTGTTTCTTCTGCTGTACAGAAGCTGTGGAGTTTAATTAGACCCCAGTTGTCTATTTTGGCTTTTGTTGCCAATGCTTTTGGCATTTTGGTCATGAAGTCCTTGCCTATGCCTATGTCCTGAATGGTTTTGCCTAGGTTTCCTTCTAGGGTTTATATGGTGTTAGGTCTTATGTTTAAGTCTTTAATCCATCCGGAGTTAATTTTAGTGTAAGATGTCAGGAAGGGGTCCAGTTTCTGCAACTATTTTTATATATTTGGAAACCATATTCCACTTCTACATGAGTGGTTAAATTTTTTTAATTATTTTAAATTTCAGCATCTTGTGAATGTCTTTTATGTTTTAAAATTTTTACTTGTATTTCATGGGATTACATATGCGTAATTTAGTCCTCTTACAAAGGAGTCTGAGAAATGGAAGCAATTTCTTTAAACAGCCGTTATTTTTGCTACAATATTCCTAAGTATAAGCAAGAAAAAAGATTAGATACTGTATGAAAGAATGCTTTTTATTGTTAAACCTAAAAGAGCCCATGTGAAGATGAAAGAAAGCTTTAGAAGTCATCATGTAATGTTCAATCATTACTGTTTTACTTGAATTTCAAACAAAATCAGTCAAAACTGATTTATGTTTAATTCTAAACGCAAATTAACTTTAAAAGCCTACTCATCAAAGTGGAGGAATATGCCATTTGCAAAACAGATACCCACCAAGTATTTCAGATGTTTTTATAGATAGAGTATTCACAGAAATTCAATGGACTATGTACTTCTCATTTAGTAAGAGTTCTTTATAAAATAAAATGGAATGGGAAGTGGCAGGATAACTTAGTCAAAACAATTTTATTTTAAATATAATTTTAATGCTTTATTTTGTATGTTATTTTCTCAAAATGGTTATGCATTTCTACAATCATGTAGGTAACCTAAGAAAGTTGTTTCAAGAATAAACATGAATTTTGATTGGCTTATAAAATAATAGATTACAAAAGTTTCTTTTCTTTAACCTACTGAACAAATAAAATACTTTAAAAATCTAATTTTACAACCTCAAGAAATATTGATATTTAGAAAAGCAATCTTGCCTAAATTTTTTGAAGATATTTTGTCAAGTGGATATTCAAAATACAAATTACTCATTATATTAAATGTATCATTTAAGATTTTTTTCTGTTTAAACCTAGAAGAAAATAATATCCAAACAATAATGAACCTTTGAAATCATTTTTGTAATATTATAATTACATTTGAGATAGTTTCTATCATACTAGAAATATAGTACAGTTAATTAGATACTTAAAGCTTTTGACTATAGTGAAATACTTATTTCTATTGAGTCTTGCTATTTTCAAGACTCTAAATTATTAGATTCTAGAGATTTTCAAGAGATTACAGTACTGGTAGCTCTAAGCATTCAATGATTGCTTTCTGGAAGGCTGCTCTTTGAAGGATTTTGAGGATGTGTCCAGACCTACTGAATAAGAGTGAAGTGGTCAGTTAGTAGTATTTGCCATGGATGTTGCAAGAATGCCAAGGAGGAGCTGTGGTTTAAGTACTCCATAGACACAATCCTTTTTTCCTACTGTTAAGATCTAGCACTTTTGTAGCACGAGAGCATGGTCCTGTTAGATAGGTTATAGTTTACAGAGAAAATAATAGGTTTAATGTGATTTTGTTTCATTTTGTTTTCAAGACTTATATATGTAATAAGACCTCAAGTAGTTCTATATTTCAATATTTTATTCCACTTTAGACCCGAATCTAAATGTCTAATGTGTACGTCTCAAAACTTGAGTGTGTCAAAACTAGCATTATTTTTTCGGGAAACAAAATAGAATAAAAGACAATAGAAAGTATCAGAAAATATCACATGTGGTAAATGCAGGGATTGTTTTGTGAAACTTTTGTGATATGTGTATGCAAACCATATTGTGATATAAAACAAATTATTTTGAGTTGTGGTTAAAACATTTTGAAACCCAGTGGTTTAAATTATAGTATTTTTACTTCTATGACAGGCTATAGCATTCTGTTGAACAAACACTGATCTCTGAATTATATCTGAGTAGTAGACCAGGACAAATGTTTATGCCAAATGTGTCATTTCAGTTTTCTGTCTTAAGCCCTGAGTAAAGTTTCTAGTCTAATATTGGGTTGATAGTGTTTGTTACCTTGGCATATCCTTTTTCTAGTTGTTGTTATTTTTGACCATTGGAAACTTCTCTGGAGGCCATGTCCTATATCAGCTTTATAAAATATGCCAGGTTACCCGGGAGATTAGTCACTGTTCAGTGTTTTACATTTTATAATTTTATTTTTCCTTCTTTCCAACTATGAGCATGGAATATTTTGCTGTAGAAGTTTAAATGCCCACTTATTTTAAAAATTCATAATTTTAATGTCTCTGGAAACCATTGTAGATGACTATTTTTCATTGCATTTATAATTAACACTGATTTCTAATAAGTAGTATCTGCTCTAATCTAATTGTTAGTTTGTGTATATGCTTCGTTTTCATATTTTCCTCACCAGATGTTGTTCACCACACTAAATGCTGTTTGCATTCCTCTAAAATGTAGCATCCATCCACTTATTTATTTATTAGTGGTGATCAGGCAAATATTATGAGCCAGTTCCTCTAAAACAGCCATAGACAAAGCTGTATATCTACTTTGAAGATATGTTCCCAGAAGCTTAGTAAGAATTTTTTGTCACCCCTGTAATGTGATTTGATAAATTTCATAACAGTTCCATGTTCTAAAGTATGTTTATTACCAAGTTTTGATTTATAAACTTGTCCAACCTTCTCCATTTCTTTAGGTTAAAACATTTAGGCAACTTCAATTTGTTAAAATTGAGATGTGTCCTATCTACTAATTATCTTTACTGCATTTGCTTCAAAAAAAATTATAGCTTTTGATGTAGTGGAGATCATGGCTGAAATGGGATGCATTATAAATCATTAGCCAGGATGGGTCAGTATGAGGATCAGGAAAAATCTTAGAACTTAAAGAGTACCTTCCAGGGCTAAAATGATGTATGTTGAGAGAAGGACAGGAAAAACAAGAATAGAAGGAAGAAATCTAAGCAGAAAGATATATCAACAATATAATTTGACCTTTTTAGTTTAGATTGTCCCTACAACTTGATGCTAATGTACGTTGCTACTCAAGTGTTTCACTTGGATCAGCAGCAGCAGCAGCAGCAGCAGCAGCAGCATGTGGAAACTTTTCAGAAATATAAATTTCAGACCCCATCCCAGAACTACTGAATCTCTGGGATGGAGAAAGGGTGTGGGGGAAAGGTAGATAAAAATATGTCTTTTAGCAGACTCTGCTGGTGTTTCTTATGTGTGATAAAGTTTGAGTACCATTCCTAGAGTAAACACTAAAAAATGGACCTCATAGAAATAATTATACCAGTGAAAAATATAATTTAAATGTAATTTTACAAATAGTTTTTATCTATTTAGTTACATTAATCTCTGTGTAGTATTTGCTGTTGAAAAAGATAAGGGTACCATGTATCAAGGCGAATGAAGGAAAACATATGAGAGTCAAAGCTAGTGAGATATATTCAATAGTGTATCAAGCAAAAAAACCAACATATAGCCTTATATTATGTAATAACTTCCTTTACATTTCCTTTCATAGACTAATGACTCCATGCTGGCACTAAAAGTTGATTACATATACTTTTTATAATTCTAGAATACGACTTGTATTGAAATACCAATCTCCAATCCAAAAAATCACGTTATTCGCTTAGATGTACAGTTAATGAGTCCTGCCCTTGATGGTGAGAGTGAAATATTCCTGAACCCACTACAGGACACCAAGTATATTTTATGGTACTCTTCAGCAAGAACAGGCCGTAGTGATGAAAGGTATGGTTTGAGCGTGGTATTATATTTCATTGTTGATCCTTAGAAAGTAACCTTTCAAATTTATGTTTCTCATATTATAATCATTAAAATTACACTGGCTCATAGTTTTAACTTTGTTTAATTCTGGTCCCTGGAAGAATGTGCTAATTTAGTTAGAGTTAGCTTTTGCTTGCTTCATTGCAAAAACACTATTTATCAGAATATCAAATTAAATAATTTCTACATTTCTCCTTTTATCTCCTCTTTTACCTCAGTTTTTACTAAGTAAATCTTTATGGATGCAAAAACTGAACTAAAAGAAAACAATTGCATGAGGACTAGGGATTAAACGTTCAATTTTCTTGATGAAAATTAATTTATATATTTTTACTTCTTAATTAAATACAAATCATTCACTTGGAAGACATAGAGAAATTAAAATAATTAATTATAGTCATCATGTCTTACAATAAATATCTTGAACTTACTCCTGCTAACTGAATTTTGGAACCTTTGACCAATCTCTCCCCAAAGTCTATGTCCCCTCCACCTTCCAGTGCCTGGTAACAATAATCATTATACTCTCTGCTTCTGAGTTCAAATTTTTAAAATTCTACATATAAGTGGAATTTGTCTTTCTGTGCCTGGCTTATTTTATTTAAGGCAATGTCCTTCAGAATAACTCTTATTGGTGCTTCAAGTACAGTATCCTACAGCAGAAACTAGTAATTGTTATTTAAGTGAGTGGGTGAATAAATGAATGCATCTGTGAAATTTTAAAGGATTAAAAATTATTCTGTGAAGCATGAAAATAAGTATATAACATATTATAAAAGACACTATTTTGAAAAAATTATCATTAGAAATATGGTGTGGTCTTTTTACCCCAATATGACTCCACAGGGTTTGGGAACACAAACAGAATCTTGACTTTTCTTTATCAGCATACATTAAAAAACATAATTTTGGCTAATACTGACTGCTTACTCTGTTATCATCATTGGGGCATGTATTTTACATATATAAACATAAAATTCTCACAGCAACTGTAAGAGGTAAGATTGATTGCCCCTATTTTATAAATGAGAAAATTTAAGCTCAAAAAGTTAAGTGACTTTTTCAAGGCTGTACAAATTAAAGATGATGGCGCTGAGATACCATCCCAATTAAACTTTTTTGGACTGCCACAAGCTCTGCTTCCCTGGGAGTTGAGCATGTGCTGATTATAAAGGAGTTCTCTAGAACTATATGTCACTTGATAGCATTCACATGACTGTCACTTGATAGTATTCACATGAAAGTGCCCATACATTCAACTAGAACTAAATTTGACTTCATCACAGTTAAAAAGTAAGGCTTTTAGTGGTACAGCTTCTGCAAAACATTTAAAATACTCATGTTTAAACATTTTTATTGATTCAACAGGCATTTATTAAACATATATTAATGACAACACCACTGCTTTTCTTAAATAATGAAGTAATTTTCTCAACAAAAAATGAAGAATTAAAAATACATCTACAAAAAGAGTAGTATGTGTTACAAAGTAATTGTCAAATGCTGTATTTGAAACCACCTATTTATACTAGTTTGGGGTATATACTTCTTCTGCCAAATTTATTATACAAACTAAAACTGCTGACAAAGTTTTGTGTATTTCTCTCCACCAGCATTATTTTTCAGCCTGAAATGGCTGATGAGTTCTGGTATTTACTGAAACTAACCATTGAATTACCAAAACCAATCACAATGTCAGAAGTAGAGTGCGACCTTGGCAAGTAAGTTCTACTTAATAAAATTATTGCTTGCAAGAAAAATAATTAATCTATTACAATATTGTTAGTTTCTAAAATAAAAAACTAATATATCTTTAGTCATTGATTTTTTTTCCCTAGGGAGTGTTTGATATATAAACTACCCTGTGGAAAACTTGTCAAAGAAAAACAAATCAGGACTTAGCAAGCAAAGAGTTTTATTCAAAAGGATTACTGAAAGGGTTAGAAAGGGACCATTGCAATAGGGAAAGACTCCCATTTTAGAAGTCTACAGGGGTCTACAAAATGAAACAGAAAAAAGTTTATCTTTTGTAAAATAAAGGAGAGACAAGCAGATATAAACAGAATCTTTGGAGGGAAAGCTGGACTAGCAAGGGAAAATGGCCAGTGATGCCTAACAGGAAAAGTGTTTCACTGTGGCCAGCTAACTCCTAGGAGAAGCTAAGAAGGGGTCATGTTACTTTGTGTGTCTGCATGCTTGTTTAGGCTTAGGAACAAGCAGAGTTCAGGGGCTGGTGGGAAGGAGAGAAGCCTGGCAAAAGTTTCCTCAAGGCAAAGCAGAGGTAAACAATGAACAACTGTGAACATTTGGTCAGTGGGTTAATACCATGATCCCTTGAGATATGACTATTCCTATTTAGATAGTCGACTTCCTACTATATATCTGGCACCAAATTTGGTGCTGGTAAATAAGGGTAAACAAGATATAATACATACTTTAAAGAAGTTTACACCCTAGTGAAAAAATTCATGCCTTTTAACTAATTTCTCTCCCTTAGCACATCAAAAGGGTGTTGAATTCTTTCAGGAATAGCTCTTGAGCCAAAAAAATAACATTTGAATTTTTTTTTCTTATAGTAGCATAGAAATCTAGTATGAAAATATTTTATTTCTATTTTTTCTAAGGTATAGTATATGAGAAAACTTGCAAAATTGGCAATATACAAAGCAGATGCTTACCACAAAGTAATGGGAAATCTATCATAATTTTTAGTATATTTTATTCATTATAATTAATGATATTTTGGTTATTTTCATTGAATTTCTTCATATGTTCCTGGTGAAAGAAAAAATTCATGATTTACAGAGACTTGTTAAATTTGTAGTCTAGAATCATAAAACTGACATATAATGTTCTTCTTAAGGGGAATCATTATATGCATATACTTTATATAAAAAGAAAATGGTGCTTTGTTTGAATTATACAATTTGAATTTATGAACTGAATTCTGCTCAGCACATATTACTCAATTTTCCTCTGTCACAGGGCCATGACATTGTGAAAAATAATATATGTATGGTGATGATTCCATTTTTTAATTACAGATTTGATACATAAATATTTTAATCTTAATTACTCTGTATTGTAAGCAAGAAACAGTAAGGAGATATGAAAACTTACATAGATAATATTATGTTATCATGTTATACTTTAACATTACAGAAAAAATGAAGATGACAAGTTTGATGCTGTACATTAAAAACCATTAGAATTGATAGTTGTTTGAGAATTATGAACATTCATTTAGTATTTGCTTGGAGCATAGTCACATATTTTAGGCATTTACTCATCATCAATCTGGATCTTGCTAATGTTATGAATGAAAACTTTGTGCATTTGTTACACTGTTATTGTGACTAGACAATGTTAGCTTTTTTGTCTGGATTTAGCAGTTGTAAAATGATAAGTAAACATTATTCCTAAAACTGGAATATATTCTAATATCCAATATGGGATAATATTAGGTCTCAAAAATAGAGAACCAAGGATTATTTAATTTAGTAAAATTTCATTAGTTCATACATAATTATTTTGATTTTGAAACTAAAAGAAGTAATTATACTAGCTTCTTAGGGTTACCATAACAAGCACCATAAACTGGGGGGCTTAAGACCACAAAAATGTCTTGCCTCACAGTTCTGAAGGCTAGAAATTTAAACTCAAGGGTTCAGCATGCCATGCTCCTTCCGAAGCCTGTAAGGGAGAGTTCCTTGCCTCTTTTAGCTTCTACTTCTTCTTTTACTTTTTTATATTTTAAAAACATTGTGTTGCTCTGTCACTGAGGCTGGAATGCAATAGCACAATCATAGCTCACTGCAGCCTCAAACCCTTGGGCTAGAGTGGTCCTCCTGCCTCAGCCTTCTGAGTACCTAGGTCTACAGGCGAACCAACATACCTGGCTATTTTTAAAATATTTTATAGAGACAGGGTCTTGCTGTGTTGCTCAGGCTTGTCTTGAACTCCTGACCTCAAGTGATCCTCCAGACTCAGCTTCCCAAAGCACTGGGATTAAAGGCATGAGTCACTGTTCCTGGTATCTTTCAGTTTCTTGTGCTTGCCAGCAACCTTTGGCTTTCTGTGGCTTGTAAATACATCACTCTAATCTCTACTTCCACTGTTATATGGACATTTTCTGTGTGTCTTCACATAGTTCTATTTACAAAGACACCAGTCATGCTGGATTAAGGGCCCATCTTACACAAGTAATACATTATTTTAACTAATTATATATGCAGTGACTCTATTTCCAGATAATATCGCATTCCGAAGTACTAGGAATTAACACTTCAACATATCTTATAGGGTGAAATATTTTAATCCTAAGGGTCATCAAGTTTATGGAATTAACACTAAATATGTTTATGAATACCAGTAACTTTACTAGCTTTGTTTTTTTCTCCCAGGTATGTCACTCAGATCATTCCCTTAGCTAATACTACATATGAAACCTTAGAATTGCAAGCAACAAACAGTAATCCTGAAAATTTTGTCCTGGATCTTGACATAAAATCAAAAGTAAGTAAATTCAGAGAGCCATGAAATTTACTGCTGCTAGAGCATTTTCCAATTCTGAACTTGGGACACTGGTGGAGTGTTATCACTTGAATTATTAATTATTAACAATGATTTAAATTTCTAAATTTTAAGAATTGAATTTTATAGGCTATGTATGGTGGCTCACACCTGTAATCTCTGCACTTTGAGAGGCCAAGGCAGGTGGATCATGTGAGGTCAGGAATTCGAAACCAGCCTGACCAACTTGGTGAAACCCCATCTCTACTAAAAATGCAAAAATTAGCCAGACATGGTGTCATGCACCTGTAATCCCAGCTACTTGGGAGGCTGAGGCATAAGAATCACTTGAACCCAGGATACAGAGGTTGCAGCGAGCTGAGATTGCACCACTGTCCTTCAGCATGGGTTACAGAGCAAAACTGTCTCCAAAAATAATTTTTTTTTAAAAGAAGCATTTTCTTTTACATACTTCTCCCCTTGAATTTTAATTTATCAACAAAACAATATCATGTTAATATAAATTTTTGAATATTATATGCTGGAGTCATGCTCATGATTACTTCATTATAATAAATTGTTTGTGTTTTCTTTCTCACCATTTTAATAATCATTTTTAAATAGTTTCCAGTATTATGATTTTTAAGTCTACTGTCATTATATATTTCCAGGTTTCCAAGAGACCATTTGTTTTCTAGCCTTTACTGAGTTGTTGCCCATCCCCCATTCCTTCACCTCTGACCCAGACACACACTTTCAGACAATGCTGACAGCTCTACCCCTCTCTGCTTCTTTCTCTGCTCAATTTCTCATTCTTAGATCCTGACAGAGGCTAGGTCCTGTCAATGATACTAAATCACTTTTCTTCTTCCTGCAAGTTACTAAGATTCTGAGGTTTAGCACGACTGTTTCTAAAGCGTAGACACCACTTACTGGCAGTGAGTGTCATACTTTCAGGTAAACATCAAAATGATAGTTACAATAGACTATTTTTATCAAGGTACTTCCAAGTAAATCATGAAATCTGCTAGTAGACATAGTATTTAAATAAAGGCTTTTACTATTTGTTGTTTAATGATTGTTTGGCAAATCTACACTTTGATTATTTTATTTATATCTTAACATCTGTCTCTTGTCAGTTACTGGTTGCCAACTTATATAATGATATAAAAGTAGTTCTTAACATCATAGTGTGTCAAATTAGAAATCGCTAATTACTATATTGCTAAAATTGGCATATATGCTTTAATCTTAGAATGTGTTAAAATGTACACATATTATTATATTATTCAATACCATATTTTTCCATAAATTATATAAAGTATGATATTCAGGATATAATTTACATATTACTGAAATTCCTCATTAGAAAGTGTGTTTTTGTATCCTTTATAGCTCTACTATTAGAGAAGAGTCTAATCTGTGATCCAAGGGAAAATAAATATAATGTATTGCACATCCAAACTTATATGACATAATCAAGAATACGAACTTTCTTTTAATATTTCCAACCATGGCTTACTAGTCTATTAATTATTCTAATCATTTACCAAACATTATAGAGCACTGAATATGCAATTAACTCTAATATTAGAAAATAACTCAAAAAGTTATATATGAGAAAAATACTATCACATTTTACAAAACAAATAGGAACACACATTAATTGTGATAATAAATGAAAAAATATATATAGAGAAAAATATCTACATCTTTATATCTATGGAGAGAATAAACTATTTTTCCAAATTTTCTAAGTGCAATTTTACTTATTTTTGCTAAGTCTGACATGGAAATTAATTAATACTCCTGAAATGTATATTAACTGATAATCCTGAAACATTCAAGATATCAGAGAGAGCACCAGCCTGAGGTAAGAATATTATATGTAGATAAACCACAATTGTATAGTAAACAAGTAACTCAGTTCTAAATATAAAACTAACTTTGCATTTGCATTTCATAGTCATTACCAGAGTTTATTGGGCATCAACTGCTGTATTCTAGAAGGATTGAAAGATACTGCTAAATTGTAATTTTGCCTTTGGTTTATCTGGCAAAATATATTAGTATAAAATAATAGACTTCCATGTGCACTTTTGCTATCATTTTGTAAGTGTTTATCTTAAAATTAAATTATTTCCAGTGTAGCATTTCAATTATGTAATATACTTAAGCCCTTATTATATTGTGATGGAGTCACTGGCTTCTTTCACAGTCTCTAAAGAAGTAACTCAAACTAATACTGTACAAGCTCAAGTTATCCTAGAGGGTCACACCTTGAATGTATACAAGATAGGAGGAAGAGGAAAACTTCCTTGCACATTAAAGAAGTGTGTCTTATACCTTTGCTTAGAAACAGTTCATTTCTTTTGATAATACCAAGGCAAAAAGTTAAGTTACTGGTGGTTTGACATGTACCTTGGGATGGGCAATACGCTATGGGTTCCTACATAAAATGTTTATGTCTTTTATGGGGATTCAACCTCAGCTTTAAAAATTAACCCTGACTTCTTTTTTTTAATCTTGGATAAGAATATGATGTCAGCACCCCTAAACACTGTTTAACATGGGACCTTTGAACAATATTCAAGGATCAGGCATACTGAGAACAGATAATTTGCTGCAAGGCAACATGTTAATCACACAAACATCAACCCTGCATATACCTAGTAATACAAAGATAAAGCAAATGGGTGTTAATTTTTGTTTCTTCTTTTCTTTTTCCATTTACACAGCTGATTGTAAATCCTCACTCCACTAGGGAGTTATCTGTTCACTTTTATCCTTCTGCTCTTGGAAGAGCTCATCATCAAGCTTGCATCAACTTCCACTGTACTCAGGTATGATAGAGTATTCTTGGACCAAGCCAAGTTAATTAGATTTTAAATCAATATATAAATAAATATAATTCATCATTCATTCAATTATCATATTTTGCAAGTAAAACAAGTTAATTATAAGTCCTTAGTTAAATGATCTTTGGAAAATACAATATGTATTATGTACATGCAGACATCTAAAGAAGGTATTTTTAAATACATACGTCAGAGGAATGAAGAGAAATATATACCCAGATTTAAAATACACATATTTTAATGTTCATGTCAAATTGCTGGCTTTTATGTTAATTTTCTGACTTGAGTTTTACTACTCAACTTTCCATAAACTTAAATATAAAATATAGAGTGCAATTTATAAATATTTGTTATTTTTTCACTGCATTTCATCTGAACAGTGTTCCTAAATATTAACTTTAAAAACAAGAGTTTATTACTTCTTGATGATCTCTAAATGTCTTTCATGTCATTCTAAGAATTATCCCAATTCATTCTCACTATACTCCTATAATGGAAGTACTGTTATCAATCCTATTTAATGCCCAGAGAAATTAAAATCAGGCAGCTACTAAAAGGTTGAGGTGTGACCTGAATCCAGGATAATCTGGTCTCAACTCATCTTCATGGCTACTTCTTACAGCTACTTAGCCAACTGATTGTAACTCTCTTACTGCCAATAAAAATTTCATGTAAAAATTTACATTTATATTATTTTTACTTCTTCTAATGTTGATGGGAGGAATGCAAATGGAGGAACGTACTTTATATCTTAGAAGACATCAAGGAGCTTACAAAACCCTGATATCGGAGGGACAGTGGAATCAAATATGATACAGGGGTCTCAATGTCAGTACAGGGCCTATGGGTAACTAAAGTATCTTTGTTTCTAAAAAAATTTTGTAATTCATTTTTAGAAAATTTGTTTTGAGGCTGTAAAATTGTCTAAATACTGTAATAACTAACTAATATATGACCTGAGACTTATACTATAGAAATATGCTTCTTTCTCAAAAATATTAAAGGAGACAAACAGTAATCCTTATCATACAGAAGGAAAAATATAATGGAGATTATTTTCTTTTAGACAAGTAATTATAACAAGGTTGTTCTTTTAAGTGATTGCTACATAGCAGGATTAGAATCCCTTCGTCATAATTATTAGGAAGGATTTATTTGCTTGCATTTCTGGTGGAAAGCATATCTATTCAAGGATAGTCTTAGAAGTTAGCAGGGAGATAATCAGTTCTGCATCTTAATAGCTTTAAAAAATCCTATCCTAGAAGTTGAATGTTAAATTCTTTATCAAACACAAAAAGGCTCAAACATCAAAATAATTCAAACCTTTTATGAGTCAGTTGAACACTGATGGTTAATTGCAGTCACTCTGAATATCTCCTTCCAACTTGTAGCAAATCTACAAGGATTCATCTATGATTAGACTTCAATCAATAATTCATCCTTTCAGCTTCCAGGTCTAGGACCTCCTCAACCTTTTCGATATATTGCTGTAACCTTTGTGATTTTTCTTGCCCTATTTATCATTAAATCATTTAGGCCGTCTTCTTTTATTTAATTCATTCAGTTGACACCTTTTGCGAGAAAAACTAGTTCGTCATAAAGTATTAATTGAATGAACTTTTGAAAATGTGATATGCATTATGTATGAGCAGGCATGTAAAGAAGGTATTTTTAAAAATAAACTCTAGAGTTTATTTTTCTGAGTCTGGAATGACTTTTTATCATTAGGGAAATAGTCGTATAGGTTTCCATCCTCTCTTGATTTAACTGATTAAATCTATCTAAACTGACACACACAGCTGATTAGCCAATTAATCTAAAGCAAACTAATGGCTGTGCTTATAAGGTAAACTTTAACTATTTCTGATTGTACCACTTTGCTGGATTGAGGGAAATGGCTGTGGTTCATTATGTGCTTCATTTGTTTCTGGTTCCAATTCATGTGAAAAGCTCTGCATTGTATAAAAATGTAACCATTCAGTTATGGTTAGGGTTTGGGTTAAGTTCAGATTGTGCAGATTTTGAATCCTGTGATTAATTTGGTTAGTATAACAAAACTGCAGATATCACGAATGTATATTTTATGCAACCAGTCTCTAAACTAGATTGTGTTAATATGTAACAAAATAAGAGGAACAGTAGTAGTAAGCAGCAAATGTGGTAATTATAACTTCTCTTTGGTTTCAAAGTTTATGTTCTGATGTTTTCTTTCTTAGTTTTCAGATGTTTCCTTTTATTTTCAAATAGGTGCCTTGTTTATTTCATTCATATTTGATTGTATGACTTGTTTCATCTCAAGGTCAGAATAGCAAAAATTAAGGAAGAATTTATTAAATCAGAGTGGTTTTACAATCCAGCATGTGTCTGTGATCTTTATAGCCTGTGCCTATGGAAAGCTCTGATTATTCTTAGCAAGTTTTAATTCTCTGTCGCTCACTGCATAAGCCAGATTTGCTATCCTTTATATTTGCTTGTTTTTTCTTTCAGAAATAGCAAAATTGTATCTTTAAAAGTTTTACTGTCTCTCCTTTAGAAGAAGATAGAGATAAATATAGGCTGAATATATTACTTAATTGTTGAGCGCATGTTTGCTGGGTTACTTTTTAATTTACTACTCTGAACCCAAGTAAATAATTTAATCAATGCTAGGAAAAGTGTTGCATATCAGTGTTCAATAATCGTGGGATGTGGTTTAACGTAGGAACTCCAGTACTCTAGGCCACTTGAAAAAACATGAAAGCATAACCTTCTTTCTGTCATGTGGCTCATTCACAGTGGTTTAAAGTAACACAAGCTCTGTCATTTAAGATTTCTTTTATAAAGTATCCAAATAGTAAATAAAATTATTTAAAAAATTATTTAAACCACTTTTTAATTAAATTGAACTCTGACGCTTGACTTTAGTCAGCCAATCTTGCCAAAACAACTTAGGATGTTATTATTGAAAATACAATGAATTTATATTATGCTAGTCAAATCTGTGACTAATAGTAATACAGTCATTTGAAGATAATATCCAGATGAAATTTGCCTTTAATTCTCCCTACTAAGGAGGCAGGATTTTATGGATTTTCTTTCACTACTTCTTCTAATTTGAAATAATCTTAAAGCAAGTTTCCCTCTTTTTATTGGAATTTAAGCTTGGAAACATCTATATAGTTGGAAAAATTATAAAGTAGGACATTGTGATCCTTTATTCATCTGCAACATTAGCAAAGTGTTTATTGCAGAAGTTTAAGAGACCCTAGAACTGAGTTACAGTCTACTATACTCTGAAGGGACTTTTATCCTAAAATACAAAGGGATTTCCAAACAGCTTTACATGCTTATGAAAGGTAGGTAAAAGCAGTAGCCACATTCAATCTCCTTCACATAATTTTTGATTCATTTATCCCTATCATGTGGTAACCGATAATGCACTCTACTCGATGAAGGGGGTAAATAATATAGCATGCAATTGTGCATACTTCCTCTTAATGTAGCTTCAATGTGTGCCTCACCTTCTTTGCCTTAATGTGATAGCTATCTGAATTTAATTTAAAGTTCACACAGAGAGTTTGGAAATTACATGCAGTGTTTGGTACCAAGTTTGTTAGATAAAAAACAAAACAAAAGAAAACAAAACAAAACCAACTTGAACAGAATGCAAAGTTTTCCTTTAAAGTTTCTCTTTTATGTTGCTATAAATTACTTTATATTCATTGAAATATGTTTGATATTTGAATATTGCTCTTTTGCCCTCTTCTGCTTCAAAATGAAAATATATAGAATTATTTTTCATAAAATCAAAAGGAATTTGGAAAAGAAAGGAAAAATAAAACAATGCTTTTTAACAACGAAACTTATCTAGCCCAATTTCTGTATGCTTATTAAGTATTGCAAATAAAATATATGTAGTTAGGACACATATGTTATGAATACTTATCTTCAAACAGTTTACAGAATGGCAGTTCTACTTTTCTGGAGTAGGACTGTTTCCCCAGCCTCTATGCACAAGAAGAATAATCACACGCATTGGTCTTCAGGCATCTATGGTTATAACTTTCAAAAATCCCACAATGGAAAAGGTCCTCATTGATGTCACACTGACAAGTAAGTTCTTTTTTTAAATATTTTACATGTTATTTTATAGATATTTATCAGACTTATTTTGGCATAGGATCAAAACATTTTAGAACAAATGAATACTTTAGAAATCTGTTAGCTAAAGAAAATTATAAGAGAAAACAAGATTTGAGAGATGCAGTATTTTGGCTGAAATCATAGCTCATAATGGTGCAGAATCAGAATTAGATATCTATAAAAATCAAGTTCTTCCAATTTTATCCATAAATGCAAATATGTAAATTAGATTTGTAAGATTCTTATATTACTCAAATATGCCAATACTTATTCCTCAAAACTTTATAGAAATTCTGATATTATGACTTTGTTTCCTTTTTGTATTTTCTTAATAAAGAGACAACATATTTGGAATAAATTTCGGCTTCAACCAGCCTTGCCCTTTTTTTATGCCATATTAAGGATACATGCTTTTAATTAGATTATTTGAAGAGTTTGGTCACTTTATATTAAACAAACAAATAGTGTAAGTCTGAATTAAAAATTAACTCAGCATGAATTTTTTGAAACACATTTTCAATCTAATATTGAGCATGACCAATTTATCTTTTCAACTATGATGACTACTTCTACTAAAATTATTATTAGTGCAATGATTGGGTTAAAGTTATATGTGTGTTATGGTTTTTTATATAAATGACCAACTTTCTAGAATGTTTATGCTTTTGTAATTCATGCTGCCATTAGGAATATAATATAGACATTACCTATTTTCAAGAACTGTGTAAGCTCTGAGTAATAACATTGTCTTTAATCTCCATCAATCTGATTGAAAGAACATTATGTTGTATCATCATTGCAAATTTACTATTTTTGATTAATGTTGAAGCTGAACATAACATTTACTTGTTGCACTTTGGTGCTTTCCCATTATTTCTTCATTTTCTTGAAATGAAATATTTTTTTTTTGAGACAGAGTTTCACTGTTGTTACCCAGACTGGAGTGCAATGGAGCGATCTTGGCTCACCGCAACCTCCGCCTTCTGGGTTCAAGCAATTCTCCTGCTTCAGCCTCCCGAATAGCTGGTACTACAGGCACGCACTACCATGCCCAGCTAATTTTTGTATTTTTAGTAGAGACGGGGTTTCACCTTGTTGACCAGGATGGTCTTGATCTCTTGACCTCGTGATCAACCTGCCTTGGCCTCCCAAAGTGCTGGGATTATAGGCATGAGCCACTGCGCCCAGCCAATAATTTTAAATACTAAGAAAGTAATGTCATCTCATGTAAAATTCCCTTATAAGAATTTTGGCTGCAATGAGGAGAGCCATGTGGTGTTTAGTAAATGTTAATTGCAAGCTCAAGGAAATCAGCATTTTAAGATGGAAAAGATTGAGCATATGTATAAGCAGAAGGGAGAAGCCAGGGTTGAGCAGCAGTTAAAGGTATAAATGAGGTAAGGTTTAACTGATAGGCTATGGGTCTAGGAGGGTTGGGAACAGAACAGAGGTAAAGGAAGAGCTGAATAGGAGGGGCATTTCTTGCTTGGGTGGGGGTAAAATAAAATAAATATGGATGTTGATGAATTGATAGGTAGTGGAAGTGCTTTGGAGTTAGGAGCAGTTCATATATTTACATTTTCATCTGCTGAGGAAAAGTGATAATAGAAAATTTGAAGAGTGGAGTGGTGGTTCGAAATAACTGTTGGAGAAAAAGGAACATGGAGCTGACAAAATTTAAATATAAAAGTTACTGTGTTTGGGATTTAAATCATAAATTTAGATATATACCAAAAATGTGTCTTTATGAAGTTTATACCAATTGTAGGGGTCAGAATTTCTAGAATGCGAGCACACTAGGCACATCAATGGGTCTTTCCAGGGAATGGAATTTTCAGTATAGGTACAGCCAAATGACTTTATATCTGAACGTATAATAAAGAACAAATTTGGGTTAAGATTTTAACATTAAAAATAAACTTTCAAATAATGAGTGACTTTTTAATTTTCTAACATTGCTATAAATTTCTTTCTGCTATATAACAAGAAAACATAGTAAGCTTGACAATTAAAAGTTTATCAGCCTTTTGTAGTTATAAACAGTCTCTTTTAAGAGAACTCACTCTTTGTTGGGCAAATGTTCAGGCTTTGTTTCTCTCCCTTCTTCCTTAAACCTGAGGAGGTATGAGACAAAGGAAAATTCACAGACCTCTAATATCTTATTTCTCTTTGTCTGTCTCTCTATCCTATGTGAAAAAGAACTCATTTCCCCTTTGTTGGTGATGCCATCTCCCTTTCTGTTTTCTTCTTATTCTTCTCCCTTTTTTGGTATCATTTTTATGCATTATCTACATATCTACTTAGTCCTTGGTGACTAAGGCTCACAATTTGACCTAAAGAAAAACATAGTCTCTGGAAAAACATGACTGATGAAAGAAATAAAATATTTAACATATATGCAAAATACTCATTAAAAAATAGAAATTAATACTATATTAGTTCATTTTTGCACTGCTATAAAGAAATATCCAAGACTAGGTAATTTATAAAGGAAAGAGGTTTAATTGACTCACAGTTCTTTATGGCTGGGAGGCCTCAGGAAAGTTACAATCATGGTGGAAAAAAAAAAACCAGGCATATGTTACATGGTGGCAGGGGAGAGAAATCAAGTGTGTGTAGGAGGAAATGTCAAACACTTATAAAACCAACAGTCTCATGTAAATTCACTCACTCTCATGAGAATAGCATGAGATAAACTGCCCCATAATCTAATCACTTCCCACAAGATTCCTCCCTTAACACCCGGGGATTATAATTTAAGATGAAATTTGTGGGGATACAGAGCTAAACCATATCAAATACCTTCTCATTTAAATATTTGTAAATGTCTTTAAATCATTTCATGATAGAAGTAGGCAATCTCATTTTGTCTTTTAAAAGAAGATGTAAATTTTCATAGCAATTCTACAGAATTAAAAAAAAAATTCTTAGGCAAGTTCATAACAAGACTGATCTTACCAAATGGTTACTTGCTGGTGTGAAGAATCTCACAGCATTTGAGATCCTACATTCCTCATTTTCCTCTCTCTCTCTTTCTCTCCCTCTCCTTTTCCCTCTCCCTCCTTCTCCTCCTCCTCCTCCTCCTTCTTATTCTTCTTCCTCTCTCTCTCTCTCTCTCTGTTTCTCTTCTCATTAGCTGCAAATCCTGGGATGATTTCTTCCCCTAATGGCATGGCAACTTGTGCATAGCTTGATGTAAATATTTGTCACACTTATTGTAGCTAATATTTGTTCATCCCACAATATTTGTGAGATCTTTATAGACATGATCTATTAGTAACTTGAGCAAATAAGACAGAGCAGACTTTTGATGCTTGCCTGCTGAATGACTAGATCATAAATAAAATACCCAAATTTCTGAATCTTAGAGATAACACAGTTGAAATTAAATACCAAAGATCTTTGGAATATCAAAAGCCATTATTTCTGGGAGAAGTAATAAAAATAGAAATAGCCAAGATATTACCAGGAGAAAAGACAGATAATTGGGTACTCCAGAAGTTCAATAGTGAGTTTGACATTCTAAAAGTGCTGCCTTCTTGGAAAACGTAGTGAATTTGAGAAGATCTCTATGTATTTTATATATCGCTAGCTCTATCTATCTATGTATTAATAGAAGAAAAATTTTGCCAACTTAAGTTTAACAGAGTTTAATTGAGCAAATAACAATTCACAAATCAGGCAGCCTCTTAAGCTAGAGAGGGCTCAGAAACCAGTATAACCACGTGGTGTAAGATTTATGGACATAAAAAAAAAGTGACATAAAGAAAACAGAAGGGAGGTACAAAAACAGCCAAATTGGTTACAGCTCTGAGTTTGCCATATTTGAACATAGTTTGAACAGTTGGCCACCTCAGTGAATGACATAAGAGTATGCTTACAGTCTGTTTACGGTTCTATATAGCTTATGGTTCTCTATGTACAGAGAAACCTTTAGGCTGAACTTAAAATATGTAAGTAGCCAGTTTTAGGCTAAACTTTTTAACACTATCTACCTATCTGTCTGTCTGTCTGTCTGTCTATCATCTATCTATCCACCTACCTATCTGAGAAAGAGAGAGAGAGAGAGAGGGGCAAAAGAGAGAGGAGATATGTTAGGATATTGCAAAAGTATTAAATACTATTATAAGGAATCCAACTTTTATCCTCTACATAATGACAGTTTCAAAAGATTACCTGACTTTATAACCTGCATTTTGAAAGCTAACTCTAGAATTGTTTGCGGATGATGGATATGGATGGGTTGGGGGAAAATTGGAATTGAGAAGCAGAGATCAGAAGATTCAAGCCAGTAACAGTGGAAAAGTTCATGACCACAGGTAGCAGAAAAGCTCATAGTATATACCTAGAATTTTTCCAAAAGTCTGGAAATCTGTTTCTTTAGCAAACATGTTTAATGTTTCATGTGTCCAGACTAATTTTTCTTCAGATAACTCTACTATGTTGCCTGAAAATGTTTCTAAAGGCTCACCTATAGTCCTCATATTTTTAATACCCAAGATGAGTGTCTTGTTATATCCATCTTAAAATAGTCTGATGCTAAATATTACTGTGGCTGTGCCATTTGGTGAAGAAATTGAGGACCTTGGGCACACACTGGTCTATGCATTACAAAAAACTTACCATTATTTCCTAAGGAGAATTTTGGCACCATTCACAGGGAATTACTTAGTGGAATGGCCTGTCCTTCACTTGAGCATAAATACTTGTTATGCTCCACAATTGACACATGAGGGTGTGAACCTGACCTTTAACTTAAGTCACAGTTAAGGCATATAGTGCCCTTGTAATTTAACAGGTGATACACAGTTGTGATTGAATCTGGGAACACATAATAGTTGCCAATTATAAAGACTATACTGAGCACTTGATTTGTGTAATTCTTTTCGTTATCTCAGGACAACAAATATTCAACTAGTCTTTATCTGGGCCATTGTCCAGCTACCAACATTTGTAACTCTATTAGGTAT